TGCGGGAGTTTTTTACCATGAGCAATGTTGGTTGTAGCCATGCTCGTACTACGGTCTGCTGCCCGCCCCTGCTTACAGTACCCAAACCGTAACAACGCCGAAATCCTCACGGCGATTCACCCAGGGCAGATTAACTGACCGAAAGAGGCAGTAACTTCCTGCGACAAAGTTCTTTCCTCTCTTAATTGTGTGGCCAAAAGCCACCCACGGATTGATTTTTCAGTGCAGAATACATCTGCAGTTCATGCATATGCTAGTTTGGACCTTTTGGACTCAGGTTAGGAATTAAAATTCCTCAAGTTTGTTCATTCTCAAAGCTGAAACCAGAGGGTTAACCTGTAACTACCACAGCGGATGGAGTACAACCCAAGGAAGATGATGATCGTATTTACCCTTTTCTAACTACAAAAGGGCCAGGAAATGAAGGTTATTCTCACAAATATTCTTGCACTGCAATTTTAATCCATAACATCAAAACAGAAGAATTTCCCTTCAAGTCAAGTCCTTCAGTCTGGCACAACCTGTCTGGTCACAGCAAAACCACCTAAGTATGAAAGACAGAACGAACAGGTCGTGTCCTTAAATGACAAATTATTTCTCGTGAAATAAAAAAGTTAGTCAAAAGTACAATTCTTCCTTTCATGGGAAATGGTGAGAAATTTCTTCATTAAATGACATAATCAAACACATTTAATTCCATAAAGTGAAAATATTTCATTATTATCATTAAATGAAACTGGAAAGTCAAAATGAGCCATATCAGAAGTAAAAGGTTTCAATTTTTCCATGAAAAATCTGATGGAATAGATACATTTCTGCATAAATATTTTTAATTAAAATATTAAAAGGGGATACTACTGCATTAGTAACCAGCCATTTCCCCCAGTGACTGAACTGGTGAAGATTTCCTCTCCCAATGAAACTGCTAAATTAAAAGCCGTATCATCCAGCTTTCAAGACAAAACCATGATCCACTGCACCAGCACGCACACCAGCAGTGTAAGCAGTGATATGCTGGCCACGCAGTAAATCATGTTTCAAAACTCAATTCAGAACAAACCATAAAGACATTTCTCAACAAAGAAATTACAAAAACATCCAACTAGATGAAAAACAGGACTGAGTAATAATTTGGGGAAGTATTTTTGAAGATGTTGATATATTTATAAAACAAGGACACTGCGCAAATTGATCCTTGACACTGAAATTAATATAAAAGAAGAAACAGAACATGTTAAAAGGGACAGAATAGTACTTGAGTGACTAGTGAGATAAAAGAGAACTAAATAGGTGCTTAGAAATTGAAGTTCCCTAATGTTTTAAAAGAAATAACCAAAAGTTTCAGCAGATACGACATCATGTGGACTGAGGAGATCACTTCACCACAAAGCTTCCCAGCATATGCTCTTTCAAAGCTCTCGCTGAAACACAACACTGCTCACACTGAACAAGAAATGCTGGCAACCGGGAACAGTTTCATAAACGCCTTTAGAGGCAGAAAACAGTAGAGGCACAACTGGCCACAAACTGCTGGAAGTCAGAGTACAGAAATCCTCCTGGAAAAACACTGCAGAAAATGATCATGAAATTGCAGAAGCCTCCTTTGGGCTGTTTGAAGAACAAAATCTTAAGAGCAGAGACTCTTCACCTATGAATAGCAAAAATGAAGAGCTGTAGGAAGCAGTGTTTGCAGTAAACGCGATTCAGGTCATACCCATTTCCAAAAACGAGGCACATCAAAACAAATGTTTGTTTTATCGGCTCAAGTGAGAAGCACAAAGTGACCCAACTTTACCAGATTTTGAGGCAGCAATTCCAAGTGAACAGCAGATCCTTTCCAAGCACATCGCCTTACAAGAACTAAGCCGATAAAACTGCTGCATATAGCTGCAAGGGAAGCCAGGTTCTACAACCCAAACCCACCATGCAACAGTAGGCTGGAAATCCCAAATAGAAACATACTCAGGTGTTTATAATTAGAAAAATGGTGCTAAACACCCTATTTTCACCATTCACGGTCGCTCAGGGTAAGGAAGGCACTTAAACGGAAGCCAAATGCCACCACACCAGCAGCACAGGAAATTCCCAATTACCCTTAATTCAAGAATAGCACAGCGGACAACTACTCACATTTTCTTCAACTGAGCTGTCACGCAACATCCGAGTAAATAAGACTGTAAACTGAAACAGGTTCTTTAACCATATTCACAGGCACAAAGCCAAGGGGCTTCCTGGAGCCAGAGACACGCGGTGCTGAGGAGCACACCAGGCACCCCTGCTCATGTACAAATGCTCAAGCGTTTTCTTTGCCTTCAGACTAATTTCACTCAGGCAGAGGCAGAACTGAGGGGAATCACAAGTAACTTCTGCACAGCCCTTGGCACAAGCTTTTCATTAGCTGTAGTTCAGCTAGGGTCAGGAATTTGCTTATATTATTAATACCCATTACTGGTAGGGACTTGCACAGAAGCTCAGTGGGGCTGTGTTCAAGAAAGCAAAGCATCAGGGATTATTTCAAACTAAAACTCTAGTGTCGTGCCTGACAGTGGTACTTCACAAGTGCTGGAAGTCTGTCTGCACTGGAGGTTGTAACTATGGATGAGACATTTACAGTGTCTATATCTCATAAGCAAAAGGAATAACTGCAGCTCTTACAGCAAAATTTATAAACTAGCTCTAGGAGACCTTCATTTTCACAGTGTGCTAAACATACTGGCTTTAAAACACCATTAAAAATTAATCTGATACCAATAAAACGCATGGAGTTTTAACTAAAACTAGTCTCATTAGAGACTAGTTTAATTTACCTACATTTAATAACTTTTGAAAAAATTTTATCATCACATTTGCAAATATGTTTTTCTTGACAGTTTTCTACTTTGGAAGTGTATGTGACCAAAAAAACCTGATTCTTTACAAAGAGGAAAAATGAGCAAACAATATATACAGATTACTATCAAAAACATAAAAGTAAAACATTTTTTAAATTGTCTTTACTTCCTACTTTTAAAGAGTCTTTACAATCACTTTATGTGAAAGTAACTGATAGAGGAAAACATTACTCGTGATGGGAAAGTAGGGAGAGACTTCAACCTTCATTTAAAATCACAGAATGGTTTGGGTTGGAAGGGACCTTAAAGATCATCCAGTTCCAACCCCCCTGCCATCAGCAGGGACACCTTCCACTAGACCAGGTTGCTCAAAGCCTCATCCAGCCTGGCCTTAAACAATTCCAGGGAGGGGGCAGCCACAGCTTCTCTGGGCAACCTGTTCCAGTGTCTCACCACCCTCAGTGTGAAGAACTTCTTCCTCAGATCTAATCTAAACCTCCTCTCATCCAGTTTGAAGCCATGACCCCTTGTTCTGTCACTCCCTGCCTTTATAAAAAGTCCCTCCCCAGCCTTCCTGGAGCCCCTTCAGGTATTGGAAGGCTACTACAAGGTCTCCCCGAAGCCTTCTTTTCTCCAGGCTCTATTTGCTCTTGTAATTTCTTTTTATACATGACCACTATGATTTTTCTCTCTCAGACAGGACATCCCAGTTAAATTTTGCAGCTTCTAGACGAGGGCAGACATACCCATCTCCTCCTAGTTCATAGTTCAATTAATGGACAAAAGTTGTGCAGAGCTAATTTCTCCCTGATAAATCACAGAGAAGTCACATAAGTCCTGCTGGAGCGGTTCCTCAATGCAGAGCGAGGAGAGGACCTACCAATACAGACAGACACATATAGAGATAAACATTAAAAACCCGCTGCTTACCAAGGCCAGCAACCTGCCATCCTCCTTCATAGCCAGAAAGCGATTTGCGCTTACACCTTTGATTGACACCACTCCTCTTTCTTCAGCTTGAAGTTGCAGTTTGACTGTGAACAAAAAAGACAAAAAAGTGTATTTTCACAGCTGTCGTGATACCTCAGCACGTGACAGTGAAGCCTGCTGCTTCAAACCTCAAACCAGAGAAAGCCCGAGCTTCACCTTGCAGTGAAGACAGTAAACTTTCAACCTCTGGCTTTCTGAGCCCGTTTTCATCAGAGAAAACGCTTACTACAAAGTGAGTAGTTATTGTCAAATTGGCAACAATAAGCGTGAGTTATTCGTCTGTCTTCAGTTCACAAAAAAGCAATTTACAAAGCCATGAAATTCCTTAAGGAGCACTTACAGCGTGGTCAACTGCTCAGAGAAAAGAGGACTTTTTTCATGGCAATTTTCATACAGAAATACTTCTTAATATTTATAGAACCGCATCGGACATGGAAGGCATTCAGTTCAATACAGCTAGATTGTCAGAGAGGCACGAGTCCGGACTATGACTAAGACCAGTCAGGATTGTATCACTCAATAAACATCCTGGCAGTTCCCAACAGAAAAGTATGAATTAGTTTACACCATACATCCAACAAGTGGTTAGACTAAAGAAACAGAAAGAACTGCAAAAGTAGATGAGGACACCAAAGACACAAGAAATGGTGTTATACAAATCAGGAACATGAAAAATGGGTTTATTTGAATCAATTCTTTAAAAAAAAAAAAAAAAAAAAAAAGAGCAATGATTTTTTTAAATCTGTAAGGTCATATCACATACCTTTTAGCTACTGCCTGTGAATTTAACACAAAGTCTGAACTGATTTTTCTAGCCACAGAACACATCCAGTAGTTTAGATTAACACACAAATGTTTTCTTTCCCCTTTGCCCACAGCTTGTTTCGAGCTATAAGCCAAAAGTGGCCTCCACCTAAATGCAGAAGGGCTGCTCGCTATTTTTCTTCTTTTTGTCCTTCCCTGTTATTGTATTCAGAATGAGAAACTAATCAAACCTTTGAGTGGTTCTAACAGCAGAGCCAGGAAATGGCATCTCTGATGCATTTCAGCCTAACCTTAACGTGAATATCTGTGACGCTGTACCTCCAAGTTCAGGTTTTTCAACCATTAGCAACGCAGGATGGGAAATACTACAAGAAACTACACTAAATTTCACAGAAACGTCCACCGGATACCTTCTATATGACTTGAGGTATTTGCAGCTCAAAAGAAATCTAACCACTCTGTTGGAACTGCCATTCTTCTGGAGAAGAGCAGGAGGAAAAGGAAGCAAAGTACATGTTGTCCTAAACTTCACAGAAGTTCTATTCCAACCATTTTTAGAACATCTGTCTTGGAAAAGTTAACATAAAACATCACTTAAAGGGGAAAAGGACCACAGAGCAACTCAACTGAGCTCTCTGGACTGCTTGCAGTCTGACATGTGGTCCATTCTCCTCCTCTCACAGAAGATACATGCCCATTCCCTGCAGCTCCATCCCATCAAGCCAGTTTGCACAGGCAGTACGTTCAATCTGATTACTTTTTCTAAAAACCAACCATTTCAGTAAGAGCAGAACACAAGAACTTGGATCTCCCAAAATCCCTAGGTTTTCCTCTATTCTGGAGGGCCATTCTTTCCAGTGAAAAAAACTCTGCAAACTCCCTCTCTTAAAAAAGAGCAATGAGAAGCGAGCCCAGATGAGTATTATTTTTCTGTGCAATACTGTGCTTTCATCCACAGTTCCACTAAAGAAAAAAAAAATCCCTTAAAAAGGGATTTTTAAGTGCAGCTATACTTCCATAACAGGAAGGAACATCATTGCAACACAGGCATCAAAAATGAGGAATAGTTGAGGAACAGCTTCTCACCTTCTTGGGACATATAAAGACCAAGAAGACTTTTGCCAAAGAATTGCAGCAGCTAAAGAAGGAACAAGCAGGGTGTCACAAGCTGGTACTGGTTACGTGTCCATCAGGTGTCCGAATGAAGGATATGACTCATCTGGTGCTAGACTATCGGCATTTCCAAAACCAAACTGGACTGCAACTTCTCTTTCCTTCTGTTTGTATCCCAGAAATTATTTTGGGAATGAGTTAAAAACATTTTCTATTTGAACACACTATACAGAGATCTGACCACGATAAAAGCCCAGCTAGAGGAACTGACAGCTGCGCTCCATTCCCTCCCAAGTACTCAGCCAAGGATTTGTGTCAGTTTGTGGCTGCCCATTTCTTTCTTTGAAGGGAAACACATACCTGGTTCTGTACAGCAGGACTGGTGTTCCAGCTTAGTGGGGAAAGTCTGCTGGGTAATACTGGTATACGTCATCTCAGACATGAGCCTCACTCATCTACCTGCTTTTGTGGAGTATATTGGGGTTTTTTTCTATTTAACAATGCAGCTTTACAAAGCTTGACCTTTGAAGCCACCAGAATAAACTCCTGAAGTGACTGTAGAGTTTGGAGCAAGAGCATCTCTTCAGATTCAGAGGGAGGTTGCTGCTAATTTGGCTTTTTGTTGTGGAGATAAAGAGATTTTTACAATACAAATGAAGAATTCTTGGTTTACTTCTGTTGCTCCTAAAGACAGGACTGAAGAAACTCCAACACTAAGAATAGCAGGAACATGAAATCTTTAGGGTAATTGCTGCAAATGCTTTTTTAAGCATTAAAATTATTTCATCTGATTTTTTCCCTAGATACAGACAGACATCAGGAAAAACTTACTCGTAAATCCATTAATTTGTATACACAACAGAAGCCATATTAATACAAATGCTGCACTCTAAAGATGAATGGTTTCTTACAAATTATGTGTCTGTTGCCATTTTGCACAAAGGAAAAAACCAAACAATGCTCTCATAATTCACTAATAACTGCAGTCTTCCAAGGAATACAGTAATCATAAAAAGCTAACTGATATGTTTAATTTCATCCCAGAATCAAGTATCCAAAATACAGCCCTCCTGGGTGATTAGGCCAAAATCAGACTTGTGAACAGCTTCAAAAACCTTCAGAGCAACTCCTTGCCCTCTGGGAAAGCAAGAATGTGGAGAAGCACTCTGAGCAGGGACTGGGGGGAATGGACTTTTGAGATGTGCCCAAGCACACAACTTTCAGCGCACACTTAACAAGCAACAGCTGTGTGAAATATCTGAAAAGTAGTATTAATTACTGCAGTACAGTCCTGACTTACTGTGTTTCGTGACTTTCTCTTAACAAAAAAAAAAGCACACCAGTTCCTACAGCAGGCCAGAAGTTCAGATTCTGTAAAAACAAACTTTTGGTGAAGGTTTTTAAGGCCTGTAAAAATATTTGTATAGTTTGGAGAAGCTTGGGAAAAGTGTAACTCTTTAAAAAGAAAGAAAAAAAAAAAAATAATTCCTGCAGAGTTTGAAAAGTGCTGCAATACCGAAAGCCCCAAAAGCAAAATCAGCTTCACTGGATTTTCTCCTCCAACTCAAAAAACATGTATAAGCAGAGCCAGAAGGGCTCTGTAAGTTTTTCAGGTTTCAGCGTTATTTTATGGCTTTATTAACACAAGGTAAATATTTGCCGCCGTGTTATGTTGATCTGGAGATGCCAAGATACAATACAGCCTCGCTAATCACACAGAATCACAGCATTGCCTTGATTGGAAAAGACCTTTACGATCACAAAATCCAAACATTAACCTCACACTGACAAGTCCCCCACTAACCCATGTCCCTAAGCCCCATGTCTACACGACTCTTCAATCCCTCCAGGGATGGGGACTCCACCACTGCCCTGGGCAACCCCTTCCAATGCCTGAGAACCCTTTCAGCAAAGAAATTCTTCCTCAGATCCCATCTCAACTGCCCCTGGCGCAACTTGAGGCCATTTCCTCTTGTCCTGTCACTTGTTCCTTGGTTGAACAGACTGACTCCCACCTCGCTACTCCCTCCTTTCAGGTAGTTGTAGACAGTGATAAGGTCTCCCCTCAGCCTCCTTTTCTCCAGGCTAAACAACCCCAGTTCCCTCAGCTGCTCCTTGTAAGTCTTGTGCTCCAGACCCTTCACCAGCTTTGTTGCCCTTCTAAAATCAAACACACTCTGACCATGCAGTCATCACCAGAAGCACCAATTTTAGGTTTAGCTCAATGCAATTTGGTACAATCAGTCATAAGTGAAATCTAACACTTGACACCGATGATCTGTATCTTCTGAAGGCTTTAGGTCACCAATAGCAATAGTTCAGACATGTGCCAGTATTTCAGATCTACCCGTACTTGCTTTCAGCATACCTCAAAACCAGTTCTAGGAAAGTTAACTAATTAAGAAGTTTGTAATCCAAAAAAGTAGCACAGATGGCTGTGAAACAGCTGAGGAACAAGCTGAGGGCCAAGGGGACATTATTTTCACAGTTATTCTGTCAGTCCTTCGGGAGAGCCCCCCTCCAGCACAGCAGCAAGTTATCTCACTGTTCACACCCATACCATGTCCTTTAATTTGTGATGAACGCCAAGTGCAAGGCTCTGGTTGATGCCTGCTGGTTTTGCAACAGCAGAGAACTCGGCACACGCTGAGCAAACATCTTGAGGACTGAGGGTAAATCATCACAAAGTTATGAAATAGAAAAATGTCCTACCCAATTACAATGTACACGACCTTTATGCATTGACAACTACAAAGGACTCGGTCAGTTTACTACTACTGAGACTTTCTTTTGTATCTCTCTTCATAATAAACCAAAGTATGAACACCTTCCCTTTTTCTGATGAGTAAGACAAAATGAAGTGCAAGACATAAAAATGTGATTTCATGCCCGGGTAGAAACACTAAAGAAGGATAAAGTTGTATCTTTGGGAATATATAAAAAGCCTTAGAAAACATGAACGGAATAAAGTTAAAGCACTGAACTAGAATTCAGGAGATGGACTTAAAACCTTCCTCTGACACAAACTTATAATACTGTAAGATAAAATTATAAAAGTCTCCTAAATAAAACTCTCCTCTGAGCCATTTCCTTCTTCCTGTATTGGGCACAATCACAAACCTGTTACCTGAACAAATGAATCAGCAAAATGCAATGTATGGCTATAACAACATGATCCATAATACTGCGGTGAAGATTTTCCCAGGAGGAAAGCTACCAAGCCCAGAAGAAGCCACTGCACAGCCCTCTGACAAGCTGTACAGGTAAAAGCACAAAAACAGAGGTGGCATCCTAAGATGGAAAGAGAACAAGCTGCATAAAGACAAAACTCTCAAACCAAATAATCAATTGGTATTTACAGCCTGCAGTACAAAAGGCATTAAACAAATTTTTAATCAGAAGGTGATTGTTTAAAAGCTACCTGGCTCAAAAGTAAGACATGCCTATAAATGTTCCAGTTACGGGGAACACGTTTTCCAATTCCTCTGTGCCATAATAAACACAGGAGTAAAGTACCACTCGCTGTGCCATGGCCCTTCCTCAGCTGACTCACCCACACACCACCAGCACCACCATCCCTCCGGCACGATCATGAAACTCAACATGTTCAGCACAGGAAAAACACGCAAATCTACAAATCAGAATTATTTACTATGGGTCCAAAGGGGGTTTGTTTTGTTGGGGGTTTTTTTGAGTCACTGTTATGATAATGAGTTTTTCCCTCAAGTTTTGCAAAAGGATTCCCATACCCCCCCAAAAAAATTAAATAAATAAATTTTTAAAAAATCACAAGCTGTTTATCATCCTCTTGAACTGCAAACTCCTTTCCACAGGCAGACTGCATCCAAATCCTGTCTCCAGCTGCTAACTGAGGGTGGTGCATCCCATTTCCAGAACATAGGAATTCTGCACCTTACAGCAGCTGAGCTGAGAGAGCTCACTGAGCCCCAGCTCTTTCACCAGGATCTGTGGCAACCTCTGCATCTCAACCCAACAGTCAAAACAAGAGAACATCAATGCTTTGGTTTGTCAATGGTTTTTCAAGGCAAGGTCAGTAAATCACAGCTGAGCCAAAATAAAGGAAGCCTAAATCTTGTGAAAATTTTGACCATATTAATCTTCAACAGGACATGCAAAAGAAGTCCTAGCTCAGCACCCAGTTGTCTAGCATTGTTAGAGCCATCATTAAAGACTGTTTTTTATAGATATATATATACATATATATATATGTAAGGGTAATCTAATCACAGAATCATAAAACGGTCTGGGTTGGAAGGGACCATAAAGATCACCCAGTTCCAAGCCCCCTGCCATCAGCAGGGACACCTTCCACTAGACCAGGTTGCTCAAAGCCTCATCAGCTTCCTTTACAATTTACACAGGAAAGGGGGGGAAGAAGCAGCAAGGTACAAAGATAAACAGGGTAATGCAGCTAATCCTTACTACACAGGTTAACTCTAGTGATTAAGAAAGATTCATCACCAGTTGCCCAAATACCTTATCATCATCCAGATCTGTGTGTCAGCTGGGGAGCCCTGCTCACAGCGAAGGATCCGAGAACCTTTCCCTGGCAATTGGGAAGTCCTATGTAGTGTGTCCCCTCATAGGTGAGGTCTCCACCTTTGCTGTGAGAGGGTTCTGCTTTTATACAATCTAACAAACAAATTGGGTAGAGAGAAAGGCGCGGGAACATCTGGTGGGTTGGCATCGCTTCACTCGGGCACATCCCAGATCTTGCCAGGATCTGTAGATCTGTTCTGGGAGAATGAACCTGGCTTTGGATTGTAGGAGGAAAAGTCTCACGGTTGTATTTCATGCTGATGTGATACAGGTTGGGAAGCCCACTCAAAAGCCAACTCTAATTTAAGCCTTTGTATATCAACATTAAACAGGTTCAACAGTTTGGGGTTGGGTTTTTTCTAAATTTATTCTCAGATCAGGTCCTGATCCCATGACATGTTAAATACAGACAAAACACTGACCACACTGATGTGTTCCTGCCCTGCAGCCAGAAATCTCCGCAGGCACAGATTTCTGCACACACTCATGTCATTAGTGGATTGCAGACGTAAAATTATAGTTACACATACACAACTATCCCTCTTTCACAGGATATATGGTCAGGACAGATCTACAAATTGCAGGTTAAATTAGCCAGCAAGTTTGAGAGAGAGTTACAAATGGGCATTTATTTCACAATTTGGAGAGACCTTTCTAAGAATATGGAAGTTGAAAAGCGGTATCTAATAGCATTGTGGTTGGCAAGGTTTCAGAATTCTGGATCTCCCCCATCTTAAAGAGCTCAAAAAAGTATTTCCAATAAAGTTTTGCATATGCCAGTGGAGAAAAGAATTTCACGGACAAGTAGCACAACAAAGTAGGACAGAAAAGATGCTAGCAAATGCAGAGAATACAGAAAACGTGTAGGTTTTC